GATCAGTTGCAAGGAGCTTCATGGTTCTCTAAGATTGACTTGGCGTCGGGTTACCATCAGATTGCAATAGCCGAAGGAGATGTGCAGAAGACGGCTTTTCGTACGCGCTATGGTCATTATGAGTTTGTTGTGATGCCATTCGGATTGACGAACGCACCAGCAGCATTCATGAAGCTGATGAATGATGTGTTTCGTGAGCATTTGGATAAGTGTGTGATCGTGTTCATCGACGACATTTTGGTTTATTCTCGGAGCCGAGAGGAGCATGCAGAGCATTTGCGGATTGTATTGGGAAAGCTGAGAGAGCATCGGTTGTTTGCTAAGTTGAGCAAGTGCAGCTTCTGGCAGAGAAAGATCGGGTTTCTTGGTCATGTGGTTTCAGAGGCAGGAGTCGCAGTAGATCCAGAGAAGATTGCTGCTATTTCAGAGTGGCCGACACCTAAGAGTGCTACAGAGATTCGCAGTTTTCTCGGTTTGGCTGGGTACTACAGGAACTTTGTTAAGGGTTTTGCCAGCATTGCAAAACCGATGACGAGACTAACGGGCAAGGATGTTAAGTTTGATTGGACAAATGATTGCTCCAAAAGTTTCATGGAGTTGAAGCGACAACTAACGCAGACGCCGGTATTGGTACTTCCGAGGCCTGGGATACCATATGAGGTTTACACTGATGCGTCGGGTACATGATTGGGTTGTGTATTGATGCAGGAGGGTCAGGTCATTGCTTATGCATCACGTCAGTTGAGACCTCACGAGGCTAATTACCCCACACACGACTTGGAGTTAGCATCAGTTGTATTTGCGTTGAAGATTTGGAGATGGTACTTGTATGGTGAGAAGGTGAAAATTTTCACGGATCACAAGAGTTTAAAGTACATCTACACTCAGACGGACTTGAACTTAAGGCAGCGCAGATGGATTGAGTTGTTGGCAGATTACAATTTGGGTATCGCTTATCATCCAGGGAAAGCTAATCAGGTGGCAGATGCTTTGAGTAGACGCAGGAGCGATGTTTCAGGAACCAAGGAGGTTCAAGAGTTTACGGGTATACTTGCTAGTCTCAGATTGTGTGCCACTACGGTAGATTGCGAGGCAGCTGGCCTCGAGGCAGTTGAGCGGGCAGATTTACTTTGGAGGATACGCAGAGCTCAGGATGTTGATGAGGCCTTGTGTAAGCAGATTGAGATCGAGAGTATTGGGTATCACACAGCTTCGAGTGGGATGTTTATGTTCCGAAACCGAGTTTGTGTACCAGATGATGAGCAGTTGAGGAAGGAGATCTTGAAGCAAGCACATCACTNGCAGAGCTCAGGATGTTGATGAGGCCTTGTGTAAGCAGATTGAGATCGAGAGTATTGGGTATCACACAGCTTCGAGTGGGATGTTTATGTTCCGAAACCGAGTTTGTGTACCAGATGATGAGCAGTTGAGGAAGGAGATCTTGAAGCAAGCACATCACTCGAGTTTTTCTATTCACCCAGGAAACACTAAGATGTACCGGGATTTGAAGCGTTATTACCATTGGCCTGGTATGAAGAGGGATGTTGCTACTTTTGTATCGCAGTGTCAGACTTGTCAGATGGTTAAGGCGGAGCATCAGGTGCCTAGCGGGTTATTGCAAAACCTGCCATTACCAGAGTGGAAATGGGACATGGTGACTATGGATTTTGTGATGGGTTTGCCGACCACGACAGGAGGAAAGAATGCCAAATGGGTAATCGTGGATAGACTCACCAAGTCAGCTCATTTCCTCGCAGTTAAGAAGACAGACAGAGCTGAGCAGTTGGCAGAGATGTATATCAGTGAGATTGTTAGATTGCACGGAGTACCTGTCAGCATTGTATCGGATCGGGACGTGAAGTTCACGTCTGCATTTTGGAGAGCCTTTCAGAAGGCGCTTGGGACTAAGGTCCACATGAGTACCGCTTACCACCCGCAGACAGATGGTCAGACAGAGAGGACCATCCAGACCTTGGAGGATATGTTGAGAGCTTGCGTTTTGGATTGGGAAGGTAGTTGGTTGAGATACCTACCCCTAGCGGAGTTTGCCTACAACAACAGCTATCACTCGAGTATTCAGATGGCACCGTATGAGGCTCTTTACGGTAGGCCTTGTCGTACCCCGCTTTGTTGGACAGAAGTGGGAGAGCGACGTGAGATAGAACCAGCAATGGTTCAAGAGACGGTAGAGCAAGTGGAGATGCTCAAGAGACGGCTTAAGGAAGCCCATGATCGTCAGAAGAGTTATGCAGATAAGCGGCGTAAGGATTTAGAGTTTCAGGTTGGCGACCTGGTATACCTTAAGATGAGGACGTTTCAAGGAGGATCTACGACTCGGAAGCTGAAGAAGCTTAAGCCGAGATATATGGGACCATTTCCTATTTTGGAGCGGATTGGAGCAGTTGCTTATAGATTGCGTTTATCGGCAGAGTTATCAGACTTCCACGATGTGTTTCATGTGTCAGTTTTGAGGAAAGTCGTGAGAGAGCCAGAGCTCATTTTGCAGCAGCCGCCCAGTGATCTTCGTAGAGACTTATCCGCAGTTTGTCAGCCAGTGGAGATTGTGGATCGACAAGTGAGAGCGGACCAGGGGATGATGACCATGATGGTCAAGGTTCGTTGGGAGAGAGACGGGATCCAGGAGGAGACCTGGGAGTCTGAGCCGCAGATGAGGATTGANATCTTCGTAGAGACTTATCCGCAGTTTGTCAGCCAGTGGAGATTGTGGATCGACAAGTGAGAGCGGACCAGGGGATGATGACCATGATGGTCAAGGTTCGTTGGGAGAGAGACGGGATCCAGGAGGAGACCTGGGAGTCTGAGCCGCAGATGAGGATTGATTTTCCAGAGCTGTTTCGAGATGTTATCGGTCAGTCGACGCTTGACTCGAATTCGGGGACGAATTCCGTATTAGTGGGGGAGAATTGTCAAGACCCAAACCCACAAAATTCATCATTTTCGGCCCAAGCCTCAGGCCCATCCGAATTGGCCAAAGGTAGTAGCTATAAAAGCTATTTTCACCACCTTGTTTTCTCAGAAATTTCATGCAAGAGAGAGAGAGTTTGGAGAGAGAGTTTAGAGAGAGAGTTTGAGAAAGAGTGTTTGGTTTTGTAGAGATAGACTCGCCTGAGCTCGTCACCGGAGACACCACGACCAGAGTACCCGTCCAGCTCGTCACCGCCGACCCCCAGCCTAGGTAACCACCGGAAACCGCCACGTTTTTAAGTTAGTTTTGATCCGTTTAGTAAAACGTCCATAACTTCCTAACCGTTGAGAATCTCGTGAATGCAAGGGTACTATCGTGTTCTACTCGTCGAGACGAAACCGTAGACCCCAAAAACGCCGCAATCGGAGCCCGGAGCCGCCGTCACGCGTCCGTCGAAGATCGTCCTCCGCGCGCGCGTGAAACACACGCGCCGCCGGAGCCTCGCCGGAGCCACCGCACGCGCCGCCGTCGCCTCGCCGGAGCCGCCGCACCTCCGCCGTCCGTCCGCCGCCGGTGACCGCCGGTAAGCCGCCGCATTTTTCGCCGGACCGGTGACCGGAGTCCGGTGACTCGCCGGCGACTCAGTCAACTCGGCCGGGTTGACTCGGCGAGTCAACCGTTGACTCGGTCAACCGGTTTAGGTTGGTCAAATCTGGTTAGTTGTTGGTTTACTTAAATCGGCGGTTAAAATTAATTAGAAATCGGTTAGGGTAAACCGGTTAATTAAATTAATTGTATTTCGGTTAAGGATAAACCGAATTGAAATCGGATTAGTCTGGTTCAATTGAAATCGAATCCGGTTAAGGAAAACCGGTTGGTCCAATTCGATTTCAATTTGGTCAAGGGTTGACCGGCTTGGGTCAAGGTTGACCGGGTTGACCTTTGACCTGCGAGTTGACGTTTCCATAATTGTCCGTTTTCGACCGTTCGAAGGTCAAACTGACTCGGAATTTCGATCTGATTTCAGATTTGGAATCTATTTGAGCAGCTGGAGTTCATAGAGACCACTTTTCCCCTGTTGCTAAGGTGAGGGTCTACTTCCGAACGATTCGTACGTGACTTAGAATTTTAAATAAATATAATTTATTTCTATTGTGTTCCGTCTGCGTGAAATTGAGTCTGTCATTGCTTGATTAGTTCTAGGTTGCTTGCTTAAACCGGAACTAGGTGGTTAGAGGATTCAACATTGATTGCTTCACTTAATGTAATCTTTAGTTAGAATTGTTTGGCCGGATACAGAGACGGACTTCTGTATGTCGGATTGTATGAGGGACTACGGACGGCTTCAGTCGACCGGCCGGGTCGTAGTCTAGTACGGTCGATAAATCGTCTTCGGGCGGTGTCACTGGGCACTATCCCAGCATTGTAGTCCCGCTAGCGGTTAGCGGGCAGCGAGTGCGCGACTCGCTAGGACCATTGTTTGTTTGCTTGGGTGCTTTAGGTGCCGTGTTTGTACATATTAGAGTTAAATTATATTTATTTGGAGTGCTATGTCCGGGTCTACGGACTTCGGGGTAGCATCCCATACCTCACTGAGCGACTCCCCTGTTGCTCACCCCTCTTTCTTCCCCTTGCAGGTGAGACCGATCTGCAGGAGTGATCATATCAGACCGGTGCTATTGGGCTTTTGGGCTTCTATAGTATTCTATCTTATCTTATCGTATTTTATCGTATTTTATCGTATTGGGCTTATAAGCCTTGGACTTTTATCGCTTATGTTATTTCAGACTTTCGGTTTATGTTGTTGACGTTATTACGGATGTTATGTATTGGGCCTTGGGCCGTTTTATGTTTTGGACTTATGTGGCACGGTTTATGTCGACTTTTAAGTATTATTATTAAATCCGATGTTTTCTATAATTATTATTAATTATATTATTTTTGGAAGAATCGGGTGCCACAAATCCTTTGTTCCATAGGATTACTGCTACTCGTTTCTTGCTTAGTGCACCAGCCCATACTTGCATTTACCAATCATATAGGTTATGATTTATGCGTTAATATTTTTCTGTCTTTAAAGTGTGCATAAATATAATACCTCAAGATCGCCATCGTTCTTGACTTTCTTTCCCTGGATCCCAAGTTTGTCTGAACATAAAAAGATAAAGCTCTTACCACTTCTGAAGGTATTTTAAGAATTTTTTGTTCATATTAGTTACCTTGGTCAGCAGCAATTAACTCTTTGTTGCTAAGCAACTCAAAGGTGACTTTGTCCATGGATCCAAGATCACATCCGATCGGCAGAGGAGCCTTCAAGAGAGAAACACAAGACAAAAACATTCATACCATGTTTAGGGGTTTCAGGTAAACAACATTCAATCATCATATACTTTTGCCAATGCCCAGATGCTGAAATGTGATCGGTACACTTCTGTAGTCATGCCTCCATTTCCCACTTCGAGCATGTCTGGATCTGTTTCAGTTTAGACCCGGATAAAGATATTTACCGTTCACAAGTTCACAACTGTTGGTTAAACAAAAAACTATTTACCGTTCCATGATCCTGGTCTTGCGTAAGATGCCCATCTATCATTCTGATCTGCTGTCGTTATCATGCTAATAAGTACACACACAAAGAAAATATTCTTCTTCAAGTTATTGTTCCATTAAGATTGCAAAAGAAAAGGACATAAAAGAAGAGAAAACTCTTCCAATTATCTTTGATATCTCCTGTTGTTCTCCAACTGTTACCAATATCTCCTGCCCAAATTGCTGGATCCTCTTGTCCTCTGCATTTGCAACTCAGTTTCATTATCAGACAAAAGTTGTCTGAAAGAAAATTCTAAAACTTATCTTTTGCTTCTTGGGATACATCAAAGATCAGTCCCAGTATTAGATGAGATTAATATGGATTCAACGCATGATTATGGTGACCCATTTAATGAAAGTAAGCTATTTTGTTGTTTGCGCTCCAAGAACATGCTAGTTATGTATGAAAATTTTCATTCATTCATTAACATCTCCTCATGCACATCGTGGACAATTTGTGTGAACATACACGGAGTAGCCCAATATTGGGTGATTCTGATACGATATTAAATTCGGGATTATCATATGCTTCGAACTCAAAATCAATTAACGATAAGTGTACTGACACTAACTTAGTAGATTAATTCGCCAACTATGATATGAGACTATTCCTTTATTCATTAATAGATTCATTTTTAGTAATAAGGTAATATGTGTTTTTGTGCAAATATAAATTTTACTAGATAAAAGAATATGTGAAATATGAAAAAATATTAAAGAATGAGACTGTTGAAATACAAAACCTTTTTATGCCTCAAAAACTACTCTATAGCATAAATTCAGAGAGGCGTTAAAAAGTGTTAGAATTAGAGATTAAGAAAGTATTGTTGCTGGAGAATGAAGAACAAATAATAGAGAGAGAGAGAATTTCGTGAGTTAAGAAGAATAGAAGGAGGAAATATTTTCCTTAATTAAATCAATGTGCATTACAGCAAGATAAGTAGGCAAGAGGCCTGAAATAAAATTAATTTAAAATAATGCAAGTTGGTACACAACGGTCAAATGCACGTGGGAAGAGCAGAAGAAGAGATTTTGAATTTTCCCATATGGTCACCTTCCATCATGGTCAAGCTTTGCACCCATGGTCATTGTATTTGAGGTTGACCATTTGGTCAAGCTCCTCATGGTCACGCTTTGCACCCATGGTCATCGTATTTGAGGTTGACCATTTGGTCAAACTGCTCATGGTCACGCTTGCACCAATGGTCATTTTATTTGTAGTTGACCATATGGTCAAGCTCTTCATGGTCACGCTCGTACCAATGGTCATCTTATTTGTAGTTGACCATATGGTCAAGCTCTTCATGGTCACGCTCGTACCAATGGTCATCTCTTCTTATCTTAGTAATTCCTTCATGTCAACACTCCCCCTCAAGCTTGACCATGTAGAACAAGTCAAGCTTGGAAGCCATGAAGCAATCCCTCATTAAAACCTTAGCTAAGTAAAACCCAATG